GGTTTACTGTCCACTCGACACAAACTAGGTCATTTCGGGACAAACATATGGTTTAATTTTTTATTTACATAATTCGCTTGCGCATAGGGGTCTTTAGCAGTGGGAGGAAACCGGAGGACCCGGAGAAAACCCACGAGGTTGGACAGGCGACCCTACTCCTTGCCACGTACAACCGGGGATTCGAAACCACGCCAGTCGACTCAATGACAGACTTTATGATACAGCGCGCACACGCTAACCATTCAGCCATCCACCCCCCCCCCCCCTTTGGTGAAAGAAAACAGAGCTGTGGATAGTGAAATGAAAGTTTAACGTCCTACTGTTTTGCTCTGAACTGGGCTAATGAAGATGGGCATACGCCATACAGTGTGCTATGTGGGAAATTTTGCCCGGACAGTGGCACTACGGCCTTCTCTTATATCGAATTCTAACTTCAAGGGCTCTTGTACGTGCACGCCAATGTGTACATGGGACCTCATTTTTTTGTCCCATTTGAATGACTAGATAGCTGTCTTGTCTAGCCCTCTGTCCTGCATCACTGACAAGGGAGAACCACGCCGGAAAATCTGGAGTAACTTTCTCGGCCAATGCAGGGATCGAACACCCGACCTCCAGACTAGATAGCCAGTGTCTTACCGACTTAACCAACGTGATCCCCGTTGTGGCTACAATTCCTGGATTTGAAGGTCAGGTATGATATGAAACGAATTTTTTGAACCGGTTCACCAATGCAACCAATTCGTGACGGGTTAACTGATAGAGGGTTACATCCTTGATATAAATATACTTGTCGCGGGTTTTAAAAATAGAAATATATATATAAATTAGCTCAAAATTCATCTCTACATGTACATAGGCCAAGGGGGGATCATGTGGCTAAGTGGGTAAGACGCTGACTCGCTAGCCTTGAGGTCGGGTGTTCGATCCCTGCATTGGCCGAGAAAGTTCATCCTGATTTTCCGGTGTGGTTCCCCATTGTCAGTGATGCAGGACGGAGGGCCTGACGAGGACAGCTGTCTAGTCGTTTGGATGGGACAAAAAAAAACAAGGTCCAGTGTACACATTGGCGTGCACATAAAAAATCCCCTGGCAGTTGGAATTCGATACAAGAGTAGGCCATAGCGCTGCTGCCCGGGCAAAATTTCCCTCATAGCACACTGTATGGCGTAACCTTTTGCGTCTCTTCAAAATATTTCAAATCTTTTGTCATGGATCAACCATTGCAAATATGGGTGTTACAATTATATTTGAAATGTGTTAAACCAATTCTGCAACACATGTAATATTGGTGTAGTATATATCTTTGTTTATACACCCACATATCAATTTTGGCCCTGTTTGTCCGTACACTGGGTGTGAAATGTGAATCATTCCGATTGTGAGAGGACAAGCATTATCAATATACAGCTTTTCAGGACTTTGCCTTCCTTGGTTAATTCTCCTTTTTTCAAATGCAATAGATGCTGTGTTTATTCTTAATTGATCTTTTTCTTATATTCACAGAATACATGTATTTACACAGAGATCAGGTCTTGTGCCCATATACACTGTACAAAATTGAAAGATATATACCAACCAGTAAATAAAAGTACATATAAGAGAAAAACAAACAGTAATTACCTAAGTAAAATGGTTCTAGTAAAATGAATTAGAAATGAAATGGTCTAATGAAGATGGGCATATACGCCATACAGTGTGCTATAATAAAGCAAATTTTGCCTGGGCTATCACAGACTTTATGATCTAAAACCCACGAATATGATTGCAAACCTCTCCACTGTTTTAGTATAAAATACTTATTAGGAACACTTGTCGCTTTTAAAAAGAAGTTATCATAATTGCGTCGTTCGAAGCGTGTTTAGAATTTTCATTGCAAAGTTGTCCTTGTTTGAAGAAAATCGGATAAACTTGAAAGAAAAATAGCTTCAGACTTTGAAATATTTGTATGATCAAACATTCTTCAAAGGCGTCGTCATGGGCAACGCCGTAGGTAAACCGGGAATTTGAAAGTAGCGCCAATGACGGATTTCGTCATACAGTCGAGGCTAGATGTAGGATACTGGAATCTGCCGAGGTTTGCCGAGTGTGTGGAATAGGTGATCAAGCAAAACACTCATTCTGACCTTTCAACCCCGATAATATAAACAACCCAATCGGACCAAGATGGAAGACAACTCATGAGACCAAGGTTAGAAAACAATTATGACTTATGAATTGAAGTATTATTTAATGTTATTATATGAATTGTATAAACACTAGCATTCTCTCATAAATGTTCTATATATTGTAGTCTGAAATGTCCGACCCTTTTTTTGTCTCTAAAGTTCTTTTTGTGTAGGCAACTTTGGTTCAAAAGTCATGTGTGTATGTTATGGTTCATTATTTATGTCACGTGATTGATATTATCAAATGAATTATTGTCATTATTCAGGTTCACGTAAAGGACTAAAAATTATTTTCGTGAGCTCATATTTTCACAGAATATTTTGGGTGACTTTTAATCTATATTTCTTTCTGTAACTTTATTTTTCATCAATGCATAAATGAAAATAGCTAATGAATTTCTTTGAAATAGGTCAACTCAACAAAACAGTAAGAAAATATAAACATGAAACACCTTATTATTAAAAAGGCTCTACCAAACGATAAACGTTAATGTACGTTGATAATTATAGAGATTCCCATAAATGATAAAAGTTATATATAAAAAGATAGGTTGCCAGGCAACGAAACATACGCCCACAGCAGCTATATCGTCCGGGCAGTCAACAAGAGTTGTCGCATATTTTTACTTTTTTCGGTAATGAAACATTTATAATACATTAAAATCTGATTAAGAGTAACAACTCATTGAGTAATTATCAGAAAACCATTAGAATTTGTTCGGTTTTTATAAAGTTCTGCGCCATGCTAACGTTTAGCATACGAAACTTTTAACATCATGGATTTAGCTGTTCAAGTCATAAAGATTCATTGAAAATTAATATACTTGTTCGTCTCAAGACCTTAAACACTGTGTATAAATTTAAAGTCAATCGGATATTAACTTTAGCCTCTAGAGCTTCCACAAGATTTTTCAAAGTGATCAAGGGCCATAACTCTGGCAGTAATTATCGGAAATCGCTGAAAATCAATAGGATTCTTCGTCTCAAGACCTTAAACACTGTGTATAAATTTAATGTCAATCGGATATTAACTTTAGCCTCTAGAGCGTCCACAAGATTTTTCAAAGTGATCAAGGGCCATAACTCTAGCTGTAATTATCAGAAATTGCTGAAAATCAATAGGCTTCTTCGTCTCATGACCTTAAACACTGTGTATAAATTTAAAGTCAATCGGATATTAACTTTGACCTCTAGAGCTTCCACATAATTTTTTGAAGTGATCAAGGGCCATAACTCTGGCAGTAATTATCGAAAATTGTTGAAAATCAACAGGCTTCTTCGTCTCATGACCTTAAACACTGTATAAATTTAAAGTCGATCAGATATTAACTTTAACCTTTAGAGCGTCCACAAGATTTTTCAAAGTGATCAAGGGCCATAACTCTGGAAGTAATTATCATTGAGTAATTATCAGAAAACCATTAGAATTTGTTCGGTTTTTATAAAGTTCTGCGCCATGCTAACGTTTAGCATACGAAACTTTTAACATCATGGATTTAGCTGTTCAAGTCATAAAGATTCATTGAAAATTAATATACTTGTTCGTCTCAAGACCTTAAACACTGTGTATAAATTTAAAGTCAATCGGATATTAACTTTAGCCTCTAGAGCTTCCACAAGATTTTTCAAAGTGATCAAGGGCCATAACTCTGGCAGTAATTATCGGAAATCGCTGAAAATCAATAGGATTCTTCGTCTCATGACCTTAAACACTGTGTATAAATTTAATGTCAATCGGATATTAACTTTAGCCTCTAGAGCGTCCACAAGATTTTTCAAAGTGATCAAGGGCCATAACTCTAGCTGTAATTATCAGAAATTGCTGAAAATGATTAGACTTCTTCGTCTCATGACCTTAAACACTGTGTATAAATTAAAAGTCAATCGGATATTAACTTTACCCTCTAGAGCGTCCACAAGATTTTTTGAAGTGATCAAGGGCCATTACTCTGGCAGTAACTATATCGGAAATCGCTGAAAATCAATAGGCTTCTTCATCTCATGACCTTAAACACTGTGTATAAATTTAAAGTCAATCAGATATTAACTTTAGACTCTAGAGCGTCCACAAGATTTTTCAAAGTGATCAAGGGCCATAACTCTGGCAGTAATTATCGTAAATTGCTGAAAATCAATAGGATTTTTCGTCTCATGACCTTAAGCACTGTGTATGAAATTAAAGTCAATAGGATATTAACTTTGGCCTCGAGAGAGTCCACAAGATATTTTTGAAGTGATCAAGAGCCAGAACTCTGGCAGTAATTATCGGAAATCGCTGAAAATCAATAGGTTTCTTCGTCTCATGGCCTTAAACACTGTATATAAATTTAAAGTCAATCGGATATTAACTTTAGCCTCTAGAGCGTCCACAAGATTTTTTGAAGTGATCAAGGGCCATAACTCTGGCAGTAATTATCGGATATCGCTGAAAATCAATAGGCTTCTTCGTCTCATGGCCTTAAACACTGTATATAAATTTAAAGTCAATCGGATATTAACTTTAGCCTCTAGAGCGTCAACAAGCAATTGTGGACGCCGGACGGCCGGCCGGACGGACGGACGGGCGGGCGGACGGACGGGGGCGACGACAATATACGACCACATTTCAATGTGGGCGTATAAAAAGGAATATTGTAGTAGTAGGCTAGGCCTATGCTGATAAAGTTTGAAAATTTAACACAACACACATGGTTATTCAAAGTCTCTACCACTTGTAAAGTGAACTTCGACATGCTTTCCAGGAGAAGCTTGCAGTAAAAGGCAATACAAATCGATAAATATAGTACGCACAAAGAATAGTCTTTTCAGCAGTATAAAGAATTAATAAGTACTCTGTTGTCAATGGGTTTTTTTTATTTCTGTGCTTCATGATATATAATAACACAAGTATAAGTAGGCTACAAAGAAAACAAATGTACTAAAACAAACACAATCATCAATTTATTAAAACAATACTTTATTATTTCAAAAACATTGGTCCGAGTGGTCTTCTGTCTTGGTCCGACTGTAAAAGGAATGGCCAAATAGTCTGGCAGTTTCGGTTTGCTTTTCATGAAATTAGAACTCGACCATCATTAGGATGTAAACATGAAATATTTAAACAATTTTTAAAATCGAAAGATAGGTTGCCAGGCAATGAAACATACGCCCACAGCAGCTAAATCGTCCGGGCAGTCAACAAGAGTTGTCGCATATTTTTACTTTTTTCGGTAATGAAACATTTATAATACACTAAAATCTGATTAAGAGCAACAACTCAGAAAACCATGCTAACGTTTTGTATACAAAACTTTTAATACTGTATCATGGATTTAGCTGTTCCAAGTCATAAAAATTCATTGAAACTCAATATACTTGTTCGTCTCAAGATATTAAACTCTGTGTATCAATCTGACGTCAATCGGATATTAACTTTGGCCTCTAGAGCGTCCACAAGATTTTTCAAAGTGATCAAGGGCCATAACTTTGGCAGTAATTATCAGAAATCTTTGAAAATCAATAGGATTCTTCGCCTCGTGACCTCAAACACTGTATAAATTTAAAGTCAATCTGATATTAACTTTAGCCTTTAGAGCATCCACAAGGTTTTTTGAAGTGATCAAGGACCATAACTCTGGCAGTAATTATCGAAAATCGCTGAAAATCAATAGGCTTCTTTGTCTCATGACCTTAAACACTGTGTATAAATTTAAAGTCAATTGGATATTAACTTTGGCCTCTAGAGCGTCCACAAGATTTTTTGAAGTGATCAAGGGCCATAATTATCTGGCAGTAATTATCGAAAATCGCTGAAAATCAATAGGCTTCTTTGTCTCATGACCTTAAACACTGTGTATAAATTTAAAGTCAATCGGATATTAACTTTGGCCTCTAGAGCGTCCACAAGATTTTTTGAAGTGATCAAGGGCCATAATTATCTGGCAGTAATTATCGGAAATCGCTGAAAATCAATAGGTTTCTTCGTCTCATGACCTTAAACACTGTGTATAAATTTAAAGTCAATCGGATATTAACTTTGGCCTCTAGAGCGTCCACAAGATTTTTTGAAGTGATCAAGGGCCATAACTCTGGCAGTAAATATCGGAAATCGCTGAAAATCAATAGGGTTCTTCGTCTCATGACCTTAAACCCTGTGTATCAATTTAAAGTCAATCGGACATTAACTTTGGCCTCTAGAGCGTCCACAAGATTTTTTGAAGTGACCAAGTGCCATAACTCTGGCAGTAAATATCGGAAATCGCTGAAAATCAATAGGCTTCCTCGTCTCATGACCTTAAACACTGTGTATAAATTTAAAGTCAATCGAATATTAACTTTGGCCTCTAGAGCGTCCACAAGATTTTTTGAAGTGATCAAGGGCCATAACTCTGGCAGTAATTATCGGAAATCGCTGAAAATCAATAGGCTTCTTCGTCTCATGACCTTAAACACTGTGTATAAATTTAGAGTCAATCGGATATTAACTTTGGCCTCTAGAGCGTCCACAAGATTTTTTGAAGTGATCAAGGGCCATAACTCTGGCAGTAATTATCGTAAATTGCTGAAAATCAATAGGATTTTTCGTCTCATGACCTTAAGCACTGTGTATGAAATTAAAGTCAATAGGATATTAACTTTGGCCTCTAGAGCGTCCACAAGATATTTTTGAAGTGATCAAGAGCCAGAACTCTGGCAGTAATTATCGGAAATCGCTGAAAATCAATAGGTTTCTTCGTCTCATGACCTTAAACACTGTATATAAATTTAAAGTCAATCGGATATTAACTTTAGCCTCTAGAGCTTGTGGACGCCGGACGGACGGACGGACGGACGAGGGCGACGACAATATACGACCACATTTCAATGTGGGCGTATAATAAAAATTGTGACTCTATGAGAGTCAACAGTCAACAAGCTAATATAATGATTTTTGCCTACAATCAAGGGCCATAATCCAGGAAATATCGAAAGGAACAGAGATCTTTGGGACATAAACACATGTTTTAAGTTTCATCATGGACCTTATAATACAGGTCCATGGTTTCATCAAAATCGGATCAAAATTGTGACATCTAGCGAGGGTCCACAACCTTAATATTACATACTATAACACTATTTGCATACATAGAGCAGCCATTTTGTCTGTCAGTTTTGGTATGACATTCACTAAATTCAAAGTTGAGCATCAATAGGTTGTAACAGTGATATATTTAAACGTTTTATTGAAATCGGATAAAAATTGTGACTTGTAGAGTGTTCACAAACAATTGTGGATGGACGGACAGGATTGACGACAATATACGTCCACATGAAAATGTGGGTGTATAAAAACGTGATTTTTTGTGCAATCAAGGGCCATAATTCAGGAAGTTATAGTGCGATATGCGCGAATATCGAAAGGAACTGAGATCTGTGGGTTATAAACATGCATTTCAAGTTTCATCAAAATCAGATGAAAATTGTAACCTCCAGAGGGTCCCCAACCCTGATACACAATATTTTGACACTATCTGCGAATGAGGGGCGGCCATTTTATCCGTCAGTTTCGGTCCAATTTTTACAAAATTCGAACGAAACCATTCTTAGGATGTAACGGTGATATATTGTCACGTTTTTTTAAATCGGATAAAAATTGTGACCTCTATGGGGTCCACAAGCTAAAAACGCAATTTTTCGTACAATCAGGGGTCATAATTCAGGAAGTTATGGTCCAATATGCGCGAATATCGAAAGGAACCGAGATCTGTGGGTTATAAACATATATTTCAAGTTTAAACCAAATCGGATAAAAATTGTGACTTCTACAGTGTTCACAAACAATTGTGGACGGACGGACGGATAGGGGCGACGACAATATACGTCCACATGAAAATGTGGGCGTATAAAAATTGTTACCTCTATAGGGTCAACAACCTTGATATACCATATTTTTACGCTATTTGAGAACGAAGGGCGGCCATTTTGTCTGTCAGTTTTGGGCCGATTTTCACAAAATTCGAACTCAGTCGTCCTTAGGGTCTAACGGTGATATAATAATACGTTTTTTTAAATCGGATAAAAATTATGACCTCTATGGGCTCCACAGGCTAAAATCGCGATTTTTCGTACAATCAGGGGCCATAATTCAGGAAGTTACGTTCCGATATGCGCGGATATCGAAAGGATCCGAGATCTTTGGATTATAATCATACATATCAAGTTTAAACTAAATCGGATAAAAATTGTGACCTCTACAGTGTTCACAAGCTAAAAACGTGATTTTTCGTACAATCAGGGGCCAATATCGGAACCGAGATCTTAGGGTGATAAACCTATATTTCAAGTTTAATTGAAATAGGATAAAAATTGTGACCTGTCGACTGTTCACAAACAATTGTGGACGGACGGACAGGGGCGACGACAATATACGTCTACGGACGTATAAATAAGGTGTAAAATTAAGCTATTTACAACCCATTCAGCGTCTTAATATTTTAAAATATTTCTTCGTAACTTTCATTAACTCGTAGCAACAATCCATACGAAGAGAATGTATGTGAAAATTAGTTTGTAATATGAGCAGTTGCCGAGAAATGGGCAATTTTGCACGAGTGACTGTATTTAGAGCCGTTAAAACAAATAATTTATTCAAATGAGTCGTATTTGTTATTTGTTTAAAATTTTGATATTTGATTCCAATCAACTAATAGAATGAGCCCATACGATCATATAGATATCACAAAATGGTTTCTAATTTTTTCAGTTGCGGAGAAACAGACGATTTTCAAAAGGTAACATTTCAAGGTTTTTGGTCCATAAAAGTGTCAATTATTATTCGATTTTCATAAAACTTTCAGTATTTGATACCCAATGCCATTTACGATTTCATACAAGTAATTTAAGATTTTCATTATCACCGGAAGTAACGTCATTTGGCCAAAAACTGTATTTTTAGCCTTCAAAGAAGATATTTTATTCAAATGCGTCTGATTTGTAAAGTGTTTAAAATTATGATATAGATTGAACCCACACGATCATACAGATACCAAAAAATGGTTTCTAACTTGTACGGTTGCAGAGAAATAGACAATTTTCTACAAGTCACTTTTTAAGGTTTTTGGTCTATAAAAGTAGCAATTAATATTCGATTTACATAAATTTTCACCATGCGATGCCTTATGCCATTTCTGATTTCATAAAACTAATGGAACTTTTCCATTATCACCGGAAGTAATGTAATTTTGTCGGGATCACTTACATGTAACACATGTATAAAATGAATTGGTATTGCTGGATTTGGTTGATTCTGCTTCCATTTTATTTGATGCGTGCAAAGTTTGTGGATATCTATTTATCTGTTCCATTGGTACTGGAATTGATGAGTTCAAGGGTAACATGTCACCAAAAGTGACATAAGTTCAAGGGTAACACGGCACCAGGAAAAACCCGTCATTACTGCTTCGCAGTTCTAGTTTCAATTGGGATTGAATATTGATATGTTTGGCTGTGTGTGTGGCTTGTTTTAGTTTATATAAATTAAAAGATTTGTAGGCCTGTACATTTGTGTATCCAATTGAATACACATTTTACGTAGTCTTCGAACACTACTGGGAATGGAGGCGGAGCTGGAACCTCAGTAGTGTAAATATTTCTAGTTCTTGTAGTGTACATGAGAGAATAAATCGTGAACGGTGGCTTGAAGATTTGTCTTTAGATTAGATTTCGTATCATTTGCTGCCTCAGGGATTAGAATTGTTTGCCAGAAAATGATGCTGAAAATACCCACAGAGTGCGTTTTAGAGTGTCTAGTTTTCAAAAAATTTCGGAGGAGGACCCCCCAACCCCCCCCCCCCCCTCTTTACCAATAGTCTCCCGCGCATGGACCGTCCCCACCACTAATTTTTGGCGATCTCCGCCCCTGGAATTATTTACCTAATAGGCCGGATAAACACTTTCAATTCATCAATGATATATGGGCCATTTCTTCGTCTACCCTGGAAGAATGCCAAAATTTTCTAATAACCCTCAACCAACAGCACCCTAAAATCAAATTCACTACGAATATCAGTAATACTGAAATTTCATTTTTAGACGTTAAAGTCATCAATCATCACAACAAACTAGAAACTAATTTATTCTGCAAAGAAACAGCTAGTCATCAATATCTTAAAACATCTTGCTGTCATCCTCATCATATCTTCAATTCCATAGTTTACCATGGGACAGCAAAGCTGAATGAACCAGCTACCATTTAACTGAATTTGAAACTTACCTAAAACAATGCGGATATAAAACTAAAGTCATCAAAAAAGAATTTAACAAAGTCCATCAAAAAAACAGAAATGAATTATTGCAATATAAGATTAAAGATATTAAAATAAGAAGAAATTTATACCATGGGTAACCACATATGACCCCCGTCAACCTAATTTACATACTTTAGTGCAAGATACTTCGATTTTAGAGACTAGCATCCTTATGTCTAAACTGTTGGATAAATCAAAAATCGTAATATCCCAGAAGAAATGTAAGACTATTGGTAAATTGATACACGTGAATAGACTGAAAACACCTGAAGTGCCTGTAGTTGACAGTGACTTTTATAGAGGATGCAAAACATGTTTTAGACCTAAATGTAAAGCGTGTGCTACTGTTGAAACCCCCAGTCACATTACCTGTATGTAATATGATGTACAAGCTTTCCTTGTACTCTTTATTATGTATTAGTATTAACATGTAAAATGGGAGATAACCCCTCCTGGCTTATAGCAGAATAGAGTTATCTCCATTTAGGAAGTTGGTTGATTAAAGATGGCTGAACCATAAATAGTGTATTTTATATCTCAGTGTTACCAATCCGTCCACATCGTCCGTACAATCATGAAACATGGTGTCAGAATGGATCAAAACTAAAAAGAAATCCTCACTCCTCATTATAAAATACGAATTTCCGACAGATGGGGCGGAATTAAGATACAGGAACATTTTTTGTCAAACTCACTAATTTCGGCGCCATAACTGATTTACACACACTAGCAAAACAATGTCCTCTACACCGCATCCTAACGTAGACTGGAGTTCAAAGAACCTTCCCGAAGCATGGAAAAAGTTCAAGCAACACGTCCGTTTGATGTTTATGGGACCATTAAAGAAAGCAACACAGGCTGAGCAGTGTGCGTACCTTTTAATTTGGGCCGGTGAGAAAGGCAGAGATATCTATAACACATTCACAGTTACAGAACAAGAAGCAGCAAGTTTAAATTCAGTTCTAGATAAATTTGACTCGTATGTGACCCCAAAGTCAAGTTCGTTATTCGCCCGATATCAATTTCAGACAAGAATACAACATGAAGGGGAAACAATAGAACAATTTACAACAGACCTGCAGCTCTTGGTTCAAGACTGTGCCTATGATAAGCCCCAAGAAATGGTCAGAGACAGAATTGTCTGTGGAATCCTGCACTCGAAAGTCAGGGAAAAACTTCTCGATATTGGAGATACGTTGGACATGACAAAGGCTATAGACGTATGTCGTTCACATGAAATAACACAATCTCACCTTAAATCAATGTCAAGCTCCAAAGCACAGCCACAGCAATCTCTAGAAACAGTAGACGCTATTTCAAAGTTCCGACATAAGCACACTGACAGATCGCAACACAGTGATGCTAACCGAAACCGAAGACAAGGCCAAAGGCAACGATCACATCAGAGTTCCAGACAACCTGATGAACGCTGTTCATTCTGTGGTCAACAGCACGGAAAACATCAAAGATGTCCAGCAAAAGGATCACAGTGTTCGAAATGCAGAAAATGGCATCATTTTGCAATTGTTTGCCGTTCTGGTTCTTTCAATTACAGAGATCACAGAAAGATACACACAATAGATCAGGATGATGACAGCTACTCGGATACTGATGTCAGCGAGTTATATATTGACTCTATAGAGGGCAAAGGGACACCAAAAGACCAAGCTTTTGTAAAATTGGAAATAGGTCAAGGGCAAACAACAACTTTCAAAATTGATACAGGATCTCAAGTCAATGTCCTACCATTCGACCATTTCCAGAAAATTCCAAACCCCCCTCTATTGAAGAACACAGAAGAGCGACTCACCGGATACTCAGGACAACAATTAAAAGTCCACGGATTCATAGATTTACAGTGTAGCTATAAAACCAAATCAGCCACTGATAAATTTTACATCATAAATACCACAGGTCCTCCCATACTAGGCTTGCCTCTCTTGACCAAAATGAAGTTGGTAAAATTCATATTTTCTCTCGAAGAAGCAACGATTCCACTCTCACGTGAATCCGTTTTGAATGAATACAAAAATATATTTAAAGGAATTGGCGAATTTGATGGCGAAGTCACAATTCAAATCGAAGATAATGCCGTCCCAGCAGTACATGCTCCGAGACGAGTTCCACATTCCATACAGGATCGCCTCAAGAATGAACTTGATAATATGGAGAAGAATAACATCATTAAAAAGGTTACAGAACCTACAGATTGGGTAAATTCGTTAGTCGTGGTAGAAAAACCACACAGCAAAAAACTCAGAATATGCCTGGATCCTCTGGACCTAAACAGAGCGATTAAAAGACCTCATTACCATCTTAAAACTATTGATGATGCTTTTGCCTTACTTAATGGAGCCAAGTTTTTCAGCAAATTAGATGCTAGATCTGGTTATTGGAACATCAAGCTAACGGAATCTTCTTCATACCTAACAACTTTCAATTCAATATACGGCAGATACAGATTCCTGCGCATGCCTTTCGGGATCATCTCAGCTCAAGATGTTTTTCAACGTAAGATTGACGAAATCTATGGCGATATTCCCGGATGCATAGCGATCGTAGATGATATATTAATATTCGGCAGAACACGTGAAGAACACGACGCTAACTTGCTCGCAGTTCTTAATAGAAGTTGCCAGAAAAATGTTAAATTGAATCCAGACAAATTAGTTATAGGGACCACAGAAGTTAGCTACTTCGGTCACCTTATTACAGCTGATGGAATCAAAATAGATCCAGAGAAAGTAAAGGCAATCGACGAAATGAAGGCTCCATCAGACAAGAAAGAACTGGAAACAATATTAGGAATGATCAACTACCTAGCCAGATTCTCGCCTTCACTTTCTGAAATTACAACTCCATTAAGGGAACTAACGAAGAAGACGATAGCATTCCACTGGGATCAGAGACATGACAGCGCTTTAAACCATGTCAAGAAACTAATCACCAGTGAACCAGTGCTGGCGTACTTCAATCCATCAAAACATATCACGCTACAAGTTGACGCATCAAAACACGGACTTGGAGCAATACTTATGCAGGAGCAGAAACCAATAGCATACGCTTCAAAATCATTAACAACATCAGAGCAGAATTATGCTCAAATTGAAAAAGAGCTGTATGCAGTGCTATTTGGTTGCAAAAAATTTCATCAAATGGTATACGGACATCAGATCACAGTTGAATCTGATCATAAACCTCTCCAAACCATAATGAAGAAACCATTAGCGACAGCACCAACACGTTTACAACGGATGCTCCTACAACTACAGAAATACGACATTAACGTTATCTTTGTACCCGGAAAGGACATTCCTGTAGCAGATACACTTAGTCGTAATTTCATCACAATACCACCAGATAACATGTCTCAAGAAATGGATTTACTAGTCCACAGCGTAATAGCCAACCTACCAGTTAGTGATCAGAAAATGTCAAAACTACGGAAAGAGATAACAACAGATCAACAAATGAACAAGTTGAAAACAACTATTCTAGATGGATGGCCACAACACCGCAAGAAATGCCCATCAGAGGTACAAGAATATTGGAATTACAGAGACCAACTCACAGTCATGGAGAATCTTATATTCAAGGGACACAAAATAATAATTCCCAAGAGCCTACGATCCGAAATGTTGACAAAGATACACTCTAGTCACTTTGGTATAGAAAAGTGTCAGCAGCGTGCCAGAGACATCTTATTTTGGCCCGGCATGAACCGAGACATTGAGAAGATTGTCACCAACTGTACAATATGTGGCGAGAAACAGTCTTCCAACACGAAGGAACCACTAAAACCACATCAGATACCAACACGACCTTGGCAGAAAGTATGCACGGACTTATTCACCATTAACAACAAGAACTACATCGTACTCACTGATTATTACAGCCGATACTTCGAGATCGACAAACTTCATTCTCTCTCATCAGCAGCAGTTATCAGTAAACTATCAGCAAACTTTGCTCGCTTCGGCATTCCAGACATAGTTATCAGTGATAATGGTCCGCAATTCTCCTCCAGTGAATTTTACAATTTCGCCAAGACTTGGGATTTCAAACACATCACGTCTAGTCCAAAGTACCCACAATCAAATGGTCTGGCTGAGAAAAGTGTACAGACAGCAAAGAACATTTTAAACAAAACGAAGAAAGATGGTGGAAACACATATATCAGTCTTTTGGAATATAGAGTGACTCCAATAGACAATTTAGCTTCCCCAGCACAATTACTAATGGGTCGCCGTCTACGTTCCATCCTCCCAGTAACAGAAACACAACTCCAACCTGAAATACAAGATCCTGCCAATGTATGTGCCACACGAGAAAACAGACAAACCCAACAGAAACGCTTTTATGACCGAACAGCTAAGCCGCTTCCAGACCTTCAACATAACGACAAGGTGTACGTCCAGAAAAGCGACAACAACAAATCTTGGACACCTGGCATAATTTCCAGTGTTTTGCCACACAGATCTTACCTCGTCAGAACATCAGATGACCAAACGTATCGGAGAAACAGACGACACATAAAACAGAGATCCTCTGAAAATGGTCCAGAACACTCCATACAACTCAACAACCAAAAACCAGAAGCCAATAGCAGCATACCATCCAGAAAGAAATCTAGTCGCACTATAACCAAACCAAAGAAATTAGACATTTAACATGTGCCAAAAACTGTGTTATAAAATGTGATCACTAAAATGTGATAACAAAATAACAAGTAGTATTTTAGAGTATTTCATACAATTTTATTCAAGTTTCAATTTTCATTATCAAATTTATTACATGCAAAAGTTAAAAATTAAGCTTTGAACTATATGCGTAATCAATGAAGTATTTACTAATGCTTAAAATTATTTTTATTCCAAAACAAAAGGGATGTAATATGATGTACAAGCTTTCCTTGTACTCTTTATTATGTATTAGTATTAACATGTAAAATGGGAGATAACCCCTCCTGGCTTATAGCAGAATAGAGTTATCTCCATTTAGGAAGTTGGTTGATTAAAGATGGCTGAACCATAAATAGTGTATTTTATATCTCAGTGTTACCAATCCGTCCACATCGTCCGTACAATCATGAAACACTGTATAGACTTAATTATATTTAATATTACGGCTAATTGTTTAAATTGCCATAGTTCTAATGTCATATATTGAATAACTTGTGAGTTTTGTAAGAAACAGTATGTTGGCCAAACTATCACCCCCTTTAGTACTAGACTTAAACATACATTATGCAAGAGCTAAATCTGATTATTTCAAGTCTTTATTTAGGCTTCAGATGTCATAGAAATTATAAATTAGATCTTTATTTACACAACAAGCACAAAATCAGCTCTGTAGACCCACGGATGGCTTGGAATCGGCTTGGATTTAAACAGGATTTTTAAATGGCGTCGTTAGCGGAGATTAACCATTACGTTGACGTCATACTCCCGGAAATTTTAGATCGAGGCTAAACGATAGAGTGTACGAAGCGAGGCTGCTGTTGAGCGAGGTCGCATGTCAGTCAATTTGATTGAAAGTTCGATACATACTGCCTTGATAATATGTTTAGTTGTGGTTAAAATGAGAGTTTGGATGTCGGTATAATACGCTCTTTTGTCACTTGTGTTTACAGAAAATTATGGAAATTGATAAACATCACAGCTAACATCACCCCAGTTGAATTGCAGCCCCATTGGATCACTGTTTCCTATTTGTCTGCTTCGGGAGTTACGTAGGCCTACCACCACTTACAGTACAAGAGTAGACACAGGCTAACAAGAAGTTGGCTATAATTATTCCTTATTGTTTTGGTCCATTCCTTTCAAACTTTCACTTATTATATATTTAAAAGTCTTATTTTTAATTTGTAGTAAAAATAAATGTGATACGAATTGAATTGCAACCCCGTCTCAAACCGAATAGGCTTACGGTACCACAGCCATTGAAAATGTTACTTGATAATCGAGATTATGTAGGTGGAGTTAACGCCTGTCAATCAAACGATCAGCCATTCTCGGAGACGGTGAAGAGAGAGTTGACTCCTATTTCTAGTCAAAAATTACAATAAGTGATAACTTTGTTCAGAATAAAGTAATTTGACTGAAATTTTCAATATATTCTTCTTTTATCATCTATTTTGAACTGTTATAGCAAGAATGGCCAACTCTCTATTAAAATCTCCCTCAATGTACATGTATCTTTAATAGTCATAGAAGTAATATTAAATTGAAAAAGATTGGAAAATCACCTCACATAGCCCCACACTTTAATACACCTGGTAATGAATCTTATACTTATGTCGGCACTGTGCTGGATAAAATCCCACGGAACGATAGAGCCAAACTCAATATTGCTGAATCACATTGGATTTGGATCCACAGATTAAACACTGTATGGCCTAGTGGTTTAAATGAAATGCCTGTAAATTAATTCTACACCTTTTTTTTAACTATACATCATTTATCTATATTTAGCTTATTCTTTATATTATGTCATCAAAGTTATGACATCATATTAACATTATGACATCACTGGTTACCATGACTAACCTTGTACTTAAAATGTATCATTTGCGTAGTTGTATTCTCTGAAGAAGTAAGTTTTTACACTTACGAAACGTTAGATACTATAAAAGATGGTTTTGTGATACCCATGACTTTGTTTTTAACCACATGAAAATGTGGACGTATAAAAACCGTTTAATTATATCACCGTTACAGCCTAATGATGATTGAATTCAAATTTTGTGAAAATTGGACCAAAACTGTCCATAAATAGTGTAGAAGGGTCATTCCATATTAAATGATTCAATATCAAAAACATGGGAAATTCAAGATTTTTAACATGTTAATATATTTAGATTTTTTGCCCATATGAAAGGATATCAATTCTAATAGTTAAATTATTATAAAATCACACCCTGCAAGAGCAAACCCATGGCTTCTATAACCTGTATATGTATAATTTCAAGAATATTTTCCAACTAGAAGAAATAAAATCAGTACACTAAAATCGAGTCATACTTGCAAAAGGGTACCCCTATTCAAAAGGCCATATTTTAGTCAATATTAAGGCAAGAGTCATATAACTTTGCAGATTTACATAAATTTGTATGTCATGTACTATAACATATATTTTTTTTCATAATATTCTGTGGAGGTCACTTTACATGCACTCTTCCACTTGATATAGAATGACCCAAAAGTATGTAATACCAAAGTTGTGGACCCTCTAGTAGTCACAATTTTTATACGCCCACATTTTCATGTGGACGTATATTGTCGTCGCCCCTGTCCGTCCGTCCACAATTGTTTGTGAACAGTCTACAGGTCACAATTTTTATCCGATTTCAATGAAACTTGAAATATGGGTTTATCACCCTAAGATCTCGGTTTCTTTCAATATTGGCATCTATCGGACCGTAACTTCATGGATTATGGCCCCTGATTGTACGAAAAATCACGTTTTGGGCTTGTGAACACTGTAGATGTCACAATTTTTATCCGATTTTGTTGAAACTTGAAATGTAAGTTTATAACCCAAAGATCTCGGTTCCTTTCGATATTCGCGCATATCGGACCGTAACTTCCTGAATTATGGCCCCTGATTGTACGTAAAAAAGCGTTTTTTGGCTTGTGGACCCTATAGAGGTCATAATTGTTATCCGATTTAAAAAAAACGTATTATTATATCACCGTTAAACCCTAAGGACGGTTGAGTTCGAATTTCGTGAAAATCGGCCCAAAACTGACAGACAAAATGGCCGCCGTTCGTTCTCAAATAGCGTAAAAATATGGTATATCAAGGTTGTGGACCCTATAGAGGTCATAATTTTTATCCGATTTTGTTGAAACTTGAAATGTAAGTTTATAACACAAAGATCTTGATTCTTTTCGATATTCGCGCATATCGGGTCGTAACTTCATGAATTATGGCCCCTGATTGTACGCAAAAACGCATTTTTGGGTTTGTGGACCCTATAGAGGTCATAATTTTTATCAGATTTAAAAAAAACGTGTTAATATATCACCGTTACACCCTAAGGACGGCTGAGTTCGAATTTCGAGAAAATCAGCCCAAAACTGACAGACAAAATAGCCGCCGTTCGTTCTCAAATAGCGTAAAAATATGGTATATCAAGGTTGTGGACCCTATAGAGGTCACAATTTTTATCCGATTTTGTTGAAACTTGAAATGTAAGTTTATAACACAAAGATCTTGGTTCCTTTCAATATTCGCGCATATCGGACCGTAACTTCATGAATTATGGCCCCTGATTGTACGCAAAAGCGCGTTTTTTGGCTTGTGGACCCTATAGAGGTCATAATTTTTATCCGATTTAAAAAACCGTGTTAATACATCACCGTTACACCATAAGGACGGCTGAGTTTGAATTTCGTGAAAATCGGCCCAAAACTGACAGACAAAATGGCCGCCGTTCGTTCTCAAATAGCGTAAAAACATGGTATATCAAGGTTGTGGACCCTATAGAGGTCACAATTTTTATCCGATTTTGTTGAAACTTGAAATGTAAGTTTATAACACAAAGATCTTGGTTCCTTTCGATATTCGCGCATATCGGACCGTAACTTCATGAATTATAGCCCCTGATTGTACGCAAAAACGCGTTTTTTGGCTTGTGGACCCTATAGAGGTCATCATTTGTATCCGATTTAAAAAACCGTGTTAATATATCACCGTTACACCATAAGGACGGCCCAAAACTGACAGACAAAATGGCCGCCCCTCGTTCTCAAATTGCGTAAAAATATGGTATATCAAGGTTGTGGACCCTATACAGGTCACAATTTTTATCCGATTTTGTTGAAACTTGAAATGTAAGTTTATAACTCAAAGATCTTGGTTCTTTTCGATATTTGCGCATATCGAATTGTAATTTCCTGAATTATGGCCCTTGATTGTAGGAAAAATAACTTTCGTTTTAGCTTGTTTTCTATCCATCTCTGGAAAATGTGGGCGTATCCTGCCTGGCAGCCGCTGGTTATCCAAATTTGATGAAAATTGAAATGTTTGTTTCTAACGAAAAGATCTCGGTTCCTTTCGATATTTGCACATAACTTCCTGGGTTATAGCCCCTGTTTGTACGAAAAATCTTGTTTTTAGCTTGTGGTACCTCTCATGGTCACAATTTTTATCCAAATTAAAAAAAATTTGAATATATTACCATTTCACCAAAATGATGGTTAAGTTCGAATTTCGTGAAAATCAGACCAAAACTGCCAAACAAAATGGTTGCTCCTTGTATGCAAATATTGTAAATGAATGGTATATCAGGGTTGTGAACCCTCAAGAGGTCACAGTTTTGATTTGATTTTGTTGAAACTTTAAATTTATGTTTTATCACTGCCAAACAAAATGGTTGCTCCTTGTATGCAAATAGTGTAAATGTATGGTATATCAGGGTTGTGAACCCTCAAGAGGTCACAGTTTTGATTCGATTTTGATGAAACTTTAAATTTATGTTTTATCACAAAGATCTTGGTTCCTTTCGCGGATACTGGAATGTAACTTCCTGGATTATGGCCCCTGAGTGTTTTTAGCTTATGGACCCTCTAGAGGTCACGATCTAAAAAAACATTTAAATATATATATCACTGTTACACACTTATGATGTTTGAGTTTGAATTTCTTGAAAATCGGACCGAATCTGCCCGACAAAATGGCCACTCCACATATGCAAATAGTGTAAAAGTATGTACTGCCAAGGTTGTGGACCCTCTGAGGTCACGATTTTGATGAAACTTAAAATTTGTGTTCATATCCCAAAGATCTGGGATCCTTTCAATATTTGCGCTAATCAGGCCCTAACTTTCTGTATTATGGCCCCTTATTGTACGAAAAATCGCTTTTCTGTTTAGCCTGTTCTCTGTCCATCTCTTGCAAAATGTGGGCGTATCTTGAATGGCAACCGCTTGTTCATAGTGTTAAAAGATTCTTTCGAAATGATGATCATTGTTTGGTGCAGGTTTTGGTGGTGGGGGTTGTTGACCACGCCTTCTTGGTGGGGCTAAGTATTCAAACATTGATGTAGTGTGTCTTGATAACATAGGTGTAAGGTCCTCAGGTTCAGGACTAACCCAGAAAAAATCATGATTGAGAGCTGTGTCACTATCCAGTCTCTTGCTAGGATTTAATGCTAATAGTTTGTCTAACAGTTCAAGAGCTGTGGTGTCCTTGACATAGGCCTTTAATCTTTCCTTTACTTTACGTTTTTGACCTTTTGGTAATTCTAATTTTTCATAAAGATCTAATTTGTCAACTCCTGGCCAGACATCAGAGGTAATGGAACCACATAATTGACTGATCAGTTGAAGTTGATGTTGTTCTGTGTTGCCTTGCATTATGGGACTTCGTGTCCACATTTCTGCCATGATGCATCCAGCTCCCCACAGATCTATAGCAGGTCCATAATTCCTTTCTCCTAGCAACAGTTCAGGTGGGCGGTACCACAAAGTCACCACACGATTTGTGTAGCGATTCGATTGTCCATGTTTTGGTAAACTAAAGGCTCTAGCTAATCCAAAATCAGCTAACTTTAACACTCCATTCTTTGTAATAAGTATATTTGCTGCTTTCATGTCTCTGTGAAGAATTTTGTTGCTATGGATGAAATATAAACCATTTAGAAGCTGAGACATCACTTTTTTAATTTCTGAGAGCTTAAACTTGACGTTTATGTTACTGAGAAGTCCAGCTAGATCATGTTCACAAAATTCAAATATGAGGTAGAATGTACTTTTATATCTGTTATATGGTGAGGCTGAAAACATACAGAAAGATAAGATTGCAAGTCAGCAATGGGAATCAGGTGGTATTTTATCATCAATCAACTAATATAATAATTTAAACATATTCAGATGATAATCTTTAATAATTTCACACTAATTCACTGATACAACTGACAATGGAATTCCTTAAATCTTATATGTAAACCTGTTACGCATATGCTGCTATCATATTTTCAGCTTACCTTTTGTTCTACAGATTTCAATCAAATTTACAACATTTTCATGTTTCAATAACTGGAGTATTTTAATTTCTCGTAAAGCTGTGATAGGAAACTGAAACATAAATAAACAAGCCAACAGTGAGGTTTATGTCCTCCGTCGAAATCACAAAATAAATAGATGAAACATTTTAATTTATCGCACATTTATTTTTTTCAAAAGTATCAAGCAATCAAACTGATTATCAACTATACACTAAGTTTCATCACTTTCTATCAGATAGAATCAAAATTATCTTGTCCTAAAGCATTGACCAATGAAATTCCTTTGCTTAGCTTTAGCTCGAAATGTTAATCATTGAACTCGGTCGAGACATTCACCTAATGAACATCTACATCAAGTTTAAACATTCTACCTCAATTAAAAGCAGAGTTGTTATGTTCCAAAGTCCTGACCAATCAAATTGCTTATCTCTCCTTAGCCTAAGCAGAAAATTCTCATCATCGAACTTAGACAAGGTAATGATATAATGAATCTATACTCGGAGTTCCATCACTCTCACTTAATTATAACCAAAGTTATCGTGCCCCAAAGCATCAACCAATCAGATTGCTTATCTCTGCTTACCGTAAGCAGACAATGTTTATCATCAAACTAGATCAAGGCATTCACCTAATGAACGCCTACACCAAGTTTGAACATCCTCCTCAATTAGAAGGAGAGTTACAGTGTTCCAAAGTCTCAGCTAATCAAATTGCTTATAGCTCTGCTTACCCTGAGCAGATAATGCTCATTATCGAACTTTGTCAAGGTATTGATGCAGTGAAACTATACACCAAGTTTCATTAATCTCACTTAATTAGAACTAAAGTTATCGTGTCCCAAAGCATCAACCAATCAAATTGCTTATCTCCGCTTACCCTAAGCAGAAAATGCTCATCTTCATACTCCATCAAGGCATTGACCTTATACACACCTAGACCAACTTTGAACATTCTAGCTCAATTAGAAGGAGAGTTTTTTTTATTGTGTCCCAAAATGTGTGATGGACAGACAGACAGACGGACGGAGACACACGGACTGACAGACAGACAGACGAACGAACTCATTTTAATAGTCCCCTGCTTTCTTTGAAAGACGGGGGACAATTAACCTCAGACATGGGTATTCATAGTAGAAATTCTAGGAGAATAACATCTTTCAAGGCATAACAAAACGTAACACATCGTTTGGCAATTGATTCAGATGCATGGATTGTAGTAATTCATCAATATACATGTATATTAGAATTCATAGTTCGAGAAAGAAGTTATTTATATGTAACAGGGTTATGTTTTGGGATTAATGTTGGTGAGTTTATAGTTTGGTTAATATGCAAATATAAATTAGTATAATTGTTTTGTTTGGTGGATTCTAATTTGTATGGATCTGAAATTATGTTGTCCTGATTATGGTGTGTTATTTTTGTGGTGGAAACGCTTTAGTCTTTTATATGGGTTTAGTTCTTAATAGTTCCACTTTCTGATCAGGTGATCTGTGATTCTTTGTCTTGGTTGGTTATTTGGTAGTGTAGCTGTGATAAAACTAAATTACATGCATGCATCTTTACCACATGTTACAGATTTTCAGCAGATCACACATCAGCTCTTTATATTTTATAAATATTTCATGTAACTGTTTCATTGGGTGACTTTGAAATTAAAGTTTAGTATGTCCATGTCAAGCAGTCCAGGGGTCGGAAATCGACCCCCTCAAAAAATCTGGAAAAAATGTATGTTATTGTACATGAAAAAATTAGAAACTATGCAAAATGTGTGGGCTGTAGCTTGATAATTGACTGCAATATGAGCATTTGAGTTTTAGGAGTTACCGATAAGTTTTCGAACAAAATATATCAATAATTTTCTCGATTTTCAGATATCTTGTTTTTAACTTTCTAGTGAAAATATAGGGCTCAAATTTGGTAGTCTTAAAGAACTTTTGGTGTAATTATACTATTCAAAAAAAGTAGGGGATATTTGATTTTGGGGGCATAATACTAAAATATGCAAATGACTACGAAAAAAGTCACTATAGAACCTAACAGAAGAAACATTTCCAGTTACATGTGACGCCCAAAGGCACCAATAGCTACCGCATGGAATGCAGGTGATGCTTGGGATCATCATGGGGGTCCAACCCAAGATTTGCACGACTCTGACTTTGAATGTTACAGTCATTGTGGCATTGAATTCCAGGGTGGAAACATCAGTTTAATTGTTTTAGTGACCAGAAAACAAATTTTGATATGCGTCGGCTTAACCAAAATGAAAGGTTACGTGCCCTTGGCATGCTACAGATCGGCACAACACAGGCGGTTGTGGCGCGGACGATGAATGTTTCTCAGTCTGTCATAAGCAGGCTATGGTCCAGATACCGTGATACACAATCTGTACAGGACAGACCACGCTCAGGTCGACCAAGGGCGACAACTCAAGCCCAGGATCGATTTATCCGTACCTTGGCCTTGAGAAATCGTGTCATCACAGCAAATCAGATCAGCGCTCGTCTTCAAACAGACACTGGTGTGAGAGTGAGTGGCCAGACGATTCGGAATCGACTGCATAGGGGTCACCTTCGCGCCCGACGTCCTCGCGTGATCCCTTGTTTGAGAGATCATCACATTCAGGCAAGACGTCGTTGGTGTAGGGATCGTCAACACTGGGATAATCGACGCTGGAGCAATGTGATGTTTTCAGATGAGTCAAGGTTCACTGTTGATTTTTTGGACAGACGTAGGAGGGTGTGGCGTCGTCGAAACGAGCGCTTCCAAGACGTTAACGTCATCAGACATGATCGATTTGGGGGTGGTTCTGTTATGGTGTGGGGAGACATCACTGTTGCTGGAAGAGCGTGTTGTTGCAGGGCGTGTTACAGGCCAGTACTACCGGGACAACATCTTGGCAGTCCATGTTGTGCCGTTCGCACGACGTCATGGCCGCCGTTTCATCTTCCAGGATGACAACGCAAGATGTCACAGGGCCAGGATCGTTACAGGTTACCTCCAACAACAGAACATCACCACATTACCTTGGCCAGCACTGAGTCCCGACCTCTCCCCCATCGAGCATGTCTGGGACATGCTTGGACAGAGGTTACGTCAACGTCAACAACGTCCTGCCAATGTCCAAGAACTTGCTGCTGCGTTGCAACAGGAATGGGACAATCTGGACCAAAATGACCTTAGACGTCTCATTAGGAGTATGCCACGTCGGATCAATGCTTGTTTGGCAAACAGAGGAGGATTTACCCGTTACTGACTTGGTTGTGATGCTGTGGTAACTTTGCTGTTTGACCCCGGGTATCATTTTACCCTTATAATGGTCAGTCTGTGCCTTACTTAGTCTAACGATCATTTGGAATAAATCGATGAATGTGAACTTCATTTCATTTTGTCATTTGTTTCTTCGTTAGTTTCATTAGGTGACTTTAATAACACTTAAAAATCAAATATCCCCTACTTTTTTTGAATAGTATATATATTTTCTGGATTTTGTAGTGCTCCAGGACCTACAAAGTAATAGATATAAACCCAAATTTTAGCCTATCTAGAGATTGTCAGAAGTACAACAGATTCATAATCTCCACACAAAGTCCTTTAAGACTACCGAATTCGAACCCTATATCATCACTAGAAAGGTAAAAACAAGATATCTGAAACTCGAGAAATTATTGATACATATTTTGTTTCAAAAACTTATCACTAACTCATAAAACTCCAATGCCAGTATCTCTGTCAAGCTACAGACAACAAATTTTGCACAATTTCTAGTTTTTACATGTACAATAACTTATATTTTTTCCAGATTTTTTTCGGGGGGATCGATTTCTCAACTTTCTGAAAATTGACCCACTTGACATGGAATGACCCTGCTTAGCCTTAGTAGAAAATGTGCATGATCGAACACTGTCAAGGTATTCACTTAATAAACACTTACACCAAGTTTGAACATTCTACCTCAATTAGAAGGAGAGTTATAGTTTTCCAAAGTCTCGACCAATCAAATTGAACTTGAAGTATTTACTAAGCCTAAGCAGAAACTGCTTATTATCGAAGTTGGTCAAGGTATTGATGTAATAAACTATACACCAAGTTTCAACACTCTCACTTAATTAGAACTAAAGTTATCTTGTCCCAAAGCATCAACAATCAAATTGCAGTAACTGCTCATCTTCAAACTTCATCAAGGCATTCACCTATAAACACCTACACCAAGTTTAAACATTCTACCTCAATTAGAAGGAGAGTTATTGTGTTCCAAAGTCTCGACCAATCAGATTGAAGTATCTCCTAAGCCTAAGCAGAAAATGCTTATCCTCGTAGTTAGTCAAGGTATTGATGTAATGAAGCTATACATGAAGTTTCATCAATCTCACTCAATTAGAATCAAAGTTATCGAGCTCCAAAGTCTTGACCAATCAAATTGCTGATCGCTCTGCTTACCCTGAACCGAAAATGCTCATTATCAAACTTAATCAAGGTATTGATATAATGAAACTATACACCAAGTTTCATCACTCTCACTTAATAAAACTAAAATTTTCGTGTTCCAAAGCATCAACCAATCAAACTGCTTGTCTCTGCTTAGCCTAAGCAGACAATGCTCATCTTTGAATTCCATCAAGGCATTCACCTAATAAACACCTACACAGGGATTTCATTAAGAGTCGGCGGCCTGCAAATTTCAACGTCTACTTCGCTCCTTGCGCCGGCTATTTGTAAAATGGAGTACTTCTTTAAATATAAATGTACTTGTAGTACATCGTTTTGCTACGTAATATAGAACGGGTAGACTAATCACCGGAATTCACTTACAATCACAAGGATTCACTTACAATCACCGGAATCTCACCTTAATTCACTTTAAGATATCAGAATTCGCCCGTAAAATCTTCCTATTTTCCATTAATATTATTATTGAATTACTTTAAAACAAATAAAATCACCGGAATTCACATATATCGGGATTCACACTTTAAGACCTTCGTATTTACTAATATTTTACATTAATAATAATTTACTGTAAATCACCGGGATTCACATTGAAAACATATAACCATCGGAATTCACTTTC